CAAACCCTACCAGACACAAGTAGAGTTAGAATTTAAACAATCCACTTGTTGACACGGACACATTACATTTCAGAGTACGGGCTATAATTGCTCTGTAATAGTACTCACGTGCAGCAGGGCGCTGGCTGTATATGTCACCATGACGGCAGAGAATGTCCCAAATTTGAGAGCGCTCTTAAAAACATCTGTGAGATGAGAGCATCAGCTTGCATGAGTGTCTCTTTAAATGAGCCATTATCATTCCATTCATAATGAGAATGAAAAGCAAAAACAGCTGCTGCCATCGAGCATTAGAACTCACAGGTGTGCAGAAAGCGAGACATGGGCAGATTCCACGATGTTACCACCTCCACCATCGACCGAGGGAACTCTATATTCAAGGGCTTGGACACGGTCATATCCCTACGAAACAAAAGGTAAAAGGGAGGGGGCCCATTTAGTAATGTGAATAAAGAGAAACACATTTTATGTTAATATTCTGCATGAAGTTCTGACCATTTGAGGTTTTCTTTCTCCTCAGTGAAGCCTGCCCCAGCCAGAGTGGTAGTAGTCTCGCTGAAGTAACCAACAAAATAGTTGCTGAAGTGGAAAGACATTGTGTTCTCATACGCCAGCAACCACCTAATGTAATGCCATTAAAAGAGGAAGAAAAAGGCGGATATTACAATGCAGTAAATTTCAACTTAATGAATTAATTATTGCACAAAATTAAAAGACATACTTTGCCAGTGTACCTCTGAGAAGCAACAGAATAAAGAGGGAAGTTGTAGCGGTTAATATTAGTGGAACATTGAAATCACACAATTTTTTTTTTTTATTGACTTGCCATGTGATGATCTACGTCTCACCACAGTTTTCAAGATGGTGAGACAGTTGTGGTAAATGAGAGGGTGAGACGGGTGTCCTGGAACACATGTGACTGCACAGAGGGGGTGGGGTGGGGGGATGATGTGGATACATGCGTGCAGGTAAAAGGTGAAGCACAAATGGTAAGAAGAAAATAAACATGCCATAAACAGCACAAAATATGAGGAAAGCATGATTGCAATGTTGAGAGACACTGAGGGAGACAGTTGATTACCTGATCTTCCTCCTCTTTTTGCTGTAAACAAAGATGGAATTAATCCATAAGTGATAAGTAATTGAAGAACGGAAACTTGTTTACAAGTATCTTTATGTTCCACTCACCTCCGTAGTAGCTTGTCTCCATAAACAGGTATGAAATAAGGGAAGAGGTATGGTGCTACACAGTTGGAAATAACAAGGCACACCTGGCTCTTCACCCAGCTAACAGACACTTTGAAAAGCCACGAAAAGCTCTGAGGAAGAAAGAAAAGAACCAAAGATTTACACAGTTAGCAGCCAGTGTCAGGATAAATCTTTTAAATAATCCTCACCCCCAACCTTCTTCCATGCTTAAGAGACACTGTATTACACTTACCAGCTTACGTCCTTCCAAAGCTTCTTTGTAGCTGTTGAAGCTGATCCAGGGGCCAAAGATGACCGTGCCCACAAAGTAAATATAGCCCATGAACTCAATGGGTGAGGGTACACTGGTCACAACACCTCTGTCCAAATCAAAGGCCAGAGAGATGGCTTTCATGGCAACCACCATCTGTGAACCTGGATGACAGCAGCAGCACTTAAACATTATTGATGCTAAATGTAAAGGCAAACCTCGAATAACCACATTTGTTGCTTTTACGTATCTATGAGAGATGCCTGACCTACCTCTCATCTTGTGCCAGTTGGTGGTGTCCATCATGTGCAGTTCTCTGATAAAATTAGATAAGAATAGTCTCAGATGTGATGTTGTTCTCGCTGCACATTAAACTTTAAAAGTCACCGCAACACTGGCTTTGAAGCATTCTTTCCAGAAAACACAGACTTGATGCGTGCCGCTGAGCTGTCAGGTATCTGAGGAGCACTCTCTTACCCCAACAGCAGGTAGATGAGCACAGTGATGGAGAGGAAGGTGCCTCGGATGGTGGAGTGGCGGCACAGGAAGAGGAAGAGGTAGCAGAGAAGGCTGAGGAGGACCACCCAGATCATATGAAGCTCAAAGAACAGGTAGAGAGTGTAGAAGCCTCCGGCCACTGTGCCCAGGTGTTTCACAAAAGAAGGGAGGCCTGACATAAGCAAGATAACAAGATAAAAAAAATAGCACAGGTGATTATGATGACGCAGCCCATATGAAGGGGGAATAACACTGACTGGGCACAAAACAACTGGATTCTCACCTAACATCCAGAGAAGCCGACACAGCAGGCAGATAACCAGCAGCTGCCATACCTGCTCCAGGCCCTGCTGAGCCGTAGGCAGCAGGCAGCCATGAGCAAGCTCCTGGAAAAACTTCTGTCGGCTGAACACTCCCATCACTGGACTTAAAACACAGAGGGAAGCCAAACACTGCATTGTTACAGCAACAAAAATGGCCTCTGTGTTGCCAGCATTAAAAAAATCTATGGCTATAAAGCATAAGTACAACATACTGTATATGTGCACTGCATTTATGCACACATATGCAAGCCTGCAGGCAAGCGTGGACTGCTCACTTCAGTCAACAGATGCACATCACTTCAAACTTCAAATCCCAGCATGCAAAGCAATTCACTACAAATCTGTGCAAATGCATGCAATAGCTAGTTTAAATGATCATGCGGTTAACTATGTTTTAGTGGGGTTTTTAGCACTTACATATTTGATAATTATATTTTCATGTTTATATTTTCATTTCTTTTAACATTTGCATGCAAATTTGATCCACAGGAATGATAAATTATGTCAGACACATTGAAATCTCAGAATGTGAAGAAGCATCAAAATAACATGCTGAAGAAAATGTTGGAAAGGACCTTGTGACCCGCTGTGTTGTTGTGTTGACCACTAATTTACAGGGCAGCGTGGAGAATATTAGACACATGCTATCTTGCTATCTCCGCAATGCAGTCGACCAAGGAGATGAGTTGACTCACAGCTGGCTTACAAGCGCTGCATATATACTACAGTACGTCCGGTATGTATGAGACTTGACAAAAAGCAAAGCATCTTGAATTTCTTGAGGAAAGCTGGTGGAGATTGCTAACCTTGCTTCACCTAGCCGGCGGTAATAACGGTCTTGCTGCCAACGTACTTGAGAGCTGATCCCCAGCCCCCACTCAGAGACAGCTAACCGGACGCCCCGGGCATGTCATTTTGTTTTCCAGGGGAAAACTTACCCTTTCAGTGCAGCAGCTGGAGGTTCCTCCCCGTGTCTCTACCCAGCTGCCTTTTCCGTCCCTTTACGATCAGTTAAGCGTGTGCGCTGCCGCTGTGCTTTAAGCGCACTCGGTCCAGATGATGCTTATCTGGATGACTCCCATTGTCACAGCATCAGCACCACTTGCCTGTCATCTGTGATGCCACGCGAAGACGCATCAGCCAATCTGCTGCTTAGATGCGAGGACTTCGGCCAATCATTGAGTTCGTTGGCTTTAAATGACAGCCGAAAAGACCAATCAGGATCAGCGCCCACCATTACCGGTGCCGTCCCACCAATAGGATGTGTACAGTGTACAGATGGACTCAGAGGGGAGACAGTGAACTCTCAACTGGCTCAGAGATGTGGTACAAGAGGTCACAGAGGAATGCACAGTAGATATGAGTAATAAAATCAAAATGCACTTGACCTAATTTTGGTAAAATTGCTTATCCACAAATGCAGATTTAAGAGACAGAAATCAGTCTTATTCATGTCTCATCGATGTTGAAATTCAATCAGTCTTCAGTATGAAATTCAAAGCTGCAGAAAAACATTAACAATGGGCCAAAAGCAAGTGTTGTTTCCTAGCAATGTGGCCATCCTGCATATTTTTAACCATATGAGTTCATGTGCAATAATGACTGACAACAAGTGCAGTACAATTCAACTTGTTTTTATTTAATTTGGATATCTAATTTAATTCATAGACACCGACCTCTTTGCACATCTGGTTTTCATCTTTTATTTTCATTTTTTTTAATATGCTCGTATATTTAATATGCAATAGTGTGTAGGCTACTCCATGTGCTGCGAGGACTATCACAGATTTGTGTATTGTGAACGTGTCTGTTCTGTTATGTATGTATGTATTTATCTTTATCAAAATTGGTTAGAACAGCAGTTCTGTCTTTAGCGGGCTGCTAAACTGTAAGTTCATAACGCAAGCAATAAGTCGTCCTTTTTAAGGGCTTATTAGTTGTAACTAATGGCTTTATTAATTAAAGAAACATGCTCAATATAAAATGCTTTATCGAGCAGTTACAATTAATTTAAAAGAACGTTTGGGTTGCGAGGTTGTGAAAAGTCTATTGGACATGTTTCTCCTATTCATTTAGAAAGGTTAATAAATCTAGTTTTTCAAATAAGTGACCAATTCAAAGTCATTGATTAAGGGTCACAAGTTCTCCATTTCCTAATAAACAGGTCTGCAGTTATAAATGTTTGTCAGTCATTAATAAGAGCCACCAGTCCATCAAGTTTGTAGCTGTTGTTAAAATATTAACACGAAACGTTAAAGATAAAAAAAGTACAGAGTTGACCTTGACAACCCTAAAATGTACCCTATAAATAAACTTTAAGAAGGCTGTATTATGTTTTACTTGTAAACCATGCTGCACCAGTTGAAGTAAAAGTACTCTCAGGGAACCATAACCACATGACAAAAAGGCCCAATGAATGAAGGCATGAGGCCTTAGTGTTATTGCACTGTGGGCCCTTTTCTGCAATGGGATGGTATGGGAGCTCACAAAACAAGCTGGCCAGTTTAATGCAATATGACACAATGATAAAGAGGTCGTCCAAGAAAAGGAGGCAGACATTTTTGGGTCAGTTTCACAAACCCTCTAGTGCCACCATCAGGATAAATCCTGTAACATTTCTTGGCCAGTAAACCTTGAAACTATTTCCACAGCGAATTTCTCACAACACAAAAACCACAAAAATCCAACAAATAAAGAGTGATAATTTTATTTCTGCATATGTGATTATGTACAGACTATTTTTCAGTTTAGACACATTGCACAGTTTATTTCTTCTTTTTTTTTTCCTTTGTCCAGTTGAAAATCAGCCTGATATGGACACAGTGTAGTTTTGACGCGGTTGAGTTACATCTGCAAATGCAATGACTAAGTAATTAGTCAGTTTTAGGTTCCCTCAACTCCAGTGCATCTATTTTAGTGAATCTATTTAGCAGATGGCACATGGCCAACAACACATCATTTGTGATTTTATCTACTTAAAAAGGACAGCTTTAATCATAGTCTTGACAGGCCCCAATGCTACACAGTAGTTATAGCACGAGGCAAAGAAAATATTTTGGAAATACTTTGTAATGAAATTGTCGTCAATTGACTGTAATAACTGAAACTGATAAGAAGTTGATTTTTTAAAAAAATGACAGACAAGATTAACAGGAGGCTAATATGTTAACAACTGTTTTTAAACGTGATTCACACAGTACTGTGAATATGAGGCAATATGTTTGACAAGTCATGTGAGTCGAGAGTCTTGCAGGTCAAACTTTGTTACAAAACAGCAGGGAGGGTACTAGTGTTCTTCACAGTTTAGTCTGTTAGGTACTTGCTGTTATGGGAAAACAAAGTCTGAATGGTAGATTAATCTCTCACCATGGCATCCTGATTTCCACCACTAGCAGATTTTAGTACACACTCAAAAAATGTAAAGTTTGTGTATCCAAAATACTGGAATTGCTGCATTTGTGTATCCAGTGACTTCTGTTATCAGGTATGATGTTGGATAATGATCTCCATATTATTCCTGTTTATAGCACAGTGGATTTCCTCACAGACTAAGCTGATTATTTCTCCACAAATTGCCAAGTACAGAATGTAGCCTGCAGCACAAATGCCAGACTGTAGTGGTAAAACAAATTTCACCTCATCTGTGATTAAGATGTGACAGCATCTCACAGAGCTCTCACTAAATAAAAAATAGCAGCATGAATTCAGTCACTTCCATTAAAATATATTAGTGTTGTGAGCAAGGTTAGGGCTAACTGCCAAAGAAAACAGGTATTGTAGAGAAGTGTGCAGCAATACATTCGCAGATACATATATCATAGGAACACTAAACAAAACATGAACAATACAAAAGCAAAAGTATATCACAATAATAAATTCTTACAAATTAGCCCGAATTAGGTTACGTTTTAGTTGTAGTATTTACCAAACACACCAGTGTGTTTGATGAAATAGCTTAATAGCTTTATGATGCCAAGTCCAAGTCTTGGTATAAGTAATAGTCGAATGTGAAACATTACGACTGAGGCAAACAGGCCAATCTGACAATAAGGTCAAATTGTAGTTAAACAAAGTATAAAACTGATTCAATGCCTGTTTTTAAAAGTGAGGAACTGAAATTAGAGGACTAGATTCAGATCAGATCTCAATCTCCAGGTCATAAGCAATTCTTTCCTTTTTGACTTGCTCAACACTTTGCTCATCTGGAGTAATCAACGGCAGCTCGCACGGTTCCTCCTTCACTTCAATAACCTTCTTAACAACTTTTGGTTTGTTTAAAATATATTCATAATTTCTTTTAACCTCAAGTAGTGCTGAGGTGAGGAACTTAGGTGAAAAGATATTTAATGAGGACGGGAGATCTAGATTCAGGGGGTGAAGGGGCTGACTGAAGGTTGCAGGTTTGTCAGGCAGGGGTGTCATAAACTGAGATGAGGTACCTGGGTTTTCTGAGTCCCTGGGTACAGGTGAGGGTGGGCACGGCACAGAGGAAGGTTTCAGAAACTCTGGTACAGGGACATCTACTATGACTTTTGTGTATGAGGCTGGAGGTGGGGCTTCAGAGGGCTTGGATAAAGGTCCAGGGTTTGGGGGCGGTAAAGGTGCAGTAGTTGTCAGCGTAGGCGTTTCAGTTATGGTGCCCTGAGCATCATCATCCAAGTCATCAGTCTGTATCTGCTCAGACTCCTGCAGCGGACAGTTTTCTGGCATGACATCACTGCCTACATTTTGCAGCTCATCGATGGAGGAATCCTGTTCAGACTCGGTTACAGGCGCGGCATGTGGCAGGAATAAAATGTGTTTGTGACGTCGACAGAACAGAACGCCACACTTCCTGCACTTCCTGCCGTCTCTGACATGCAGCAGCTTATGACGCTTGAGGTTATGACTAGTAGTGAAAAGTCGATCACACATGTTGCAGGGAAAGGAGGTGTCATTGTTGCGGACGGTGTGGACACACTGGTGCACTCTTTGTTCTTCATGCGGCTGTTTGTGTTTTACGAGCCGAGATACACCGGTGAAGTTCCGATTGCCAAGCTCACACTGATACCGACCTGCTGGTAGATCTAGGGGTTTTAGGAGCACAACAGGACTCATTTTGTCTAGTTTTGAGATGCCTGCTGGTAGTTTAAGTGATTGTGGTGACTTGTTTTTGCTGGATTTTGTTTGTGATGTGATTGCTTTGGTTCTAGTTTCAGCCTCAGCCTCTTCATTCAATGTTTCCTCTTCCTACAAAACACACACACACACACACACACAAAGAGATTATGAAAATGGAAGATAGAAATTCAAAGAATAAGAAAACCATTTCTTTACAGCAATTTACAGCAATATAAGATATTGCAGAAAAATATGCTCAACATAAATACCATGTTATCTTTCTACTTCTGATGATCTGGCAACAACTATTCCCACTGTCACCACCACCAAAGTAAACTTGTGTGCCTTCTAAACACAATAGTAACACAGAATTACATATGAAGATTTTAAGTCATAGCTGCTACCTTTGGCACTGAGGGGGTTGATGCTGTCTGTAGTTCTTCTGAAAGCTCATCTTCAGTTTCCTTCAAAACAGACGTCTGGATGCCCGCAGGAGAATCAACTACAGGTGGAGTTGTTATTTCTTCTTTTTCCACACTGGCTTTATGGTGGCGCTTTCTTCTACGACCGTAAAATCTTGTGAAAAAATTGTGAAAAATAATTCATCTGAATATCCAGTAAATGGATCACATATATCTACTTGTCAAAGTGGAAAAGGAAAAGTTTGCTCTTTTCAACCACAATAAAGGTGGTGGGCAATAACAAAGACTGATATGAGAGACACTGGTGCAGCAGGGCTGTAACAGCTACTGTAGCTACTGTACTGTATAATTATCCAGACACAGTTTACTATGGCACAGATGTAAAGACAACTGCACAGCTTGGTAATAATAACAATATTTATATGTTTTATTTGTTTACAGAAACGGTGGACTACAACCGTTTCTTCAGCTCTGTAAAGGTACATAGAGACTGGTATGTAATTACTCAATAGCGAAACATATGTACAGAAATATTTGAGAATCCCACCACTTATGCTCCACAACATGTTACTGAATCTTCAGTCATGTGCAAGACATCAATTACCATGAAAATAGGCCTCCAACTAAAAAAATAGACAAATTGCTTGCCTTGGCAATGTTTTCAGATTGATTTATATGTCTAATTAACAGCCCAAAACACTGAGATATTCAGTTTACTATGATATAACAAAGAAAAGGAGCAAATCCTCACATGTGAGAAGCTGAAACCAGAGTCAATTTAGTTTGAAAAATGGCAGAAATGACAATTTGATAATCAAAATAGTTAATTTTCTGACTGACTGATCAATTAATGGTCTAATATGTCAGTTGTACATGAATTTGTGTCTTGAAGTCAAATGACCTCCATAGCCAAAAAGACAAGGAGTAAGGCTTATGTAATAACACATAGGGAATAAAGTAGTATGATTTAATATGAAATTATACGTATTTGACAGCATAATCTAAGATTTTGTGATGTTTTGGTGCTGTTGGTTTGCTAGCCAGCACACTACAAAGTAAGCCTCAGATTGTGGCTCCCATGTATTACTATGAGAGCCACAAACTGGGCCCAGTGCACTACATACAATGACAATTGATAGAAGATAAACCAGTGCAGGAAAGTGACCAAGTACTGTACTTAAGTACAACTTTAAGGAACTCAAACTTTACTTGAGTAATTCCATTTTCTGCTGCTTTATACTTCTACTCCGCTGCATTTACTTTCCTCATAACCGTAGTTACTTCTTACTTTGCAGATTCAGATTAATATTCAACATATAAATTATAATGCATACTCAATTTATTAGATAGACCTGGCTAAAACTAATGCTGCCTAATACAACAGTCCTACAATTACTCCGACTCTCATGAAGGTTATAATGATCAGTTGTTATTGAGTTTTACAGTTCACAAACACTCAAGTGGTCTATTGTTAAATTAGGCCCACCTTCACCAGGAGCAACATTTAAGTGATATACACATTAGTTCATGAATAATTATAATCCAGTGATATTACGTACATTGTTTTGAAATGGACTACTCAGCATAATAAGTACTTTTACTGTTGGTACATTTTGGTGCTAATACTTGTGTACTTTTACTCAAATCAGATTTTTAATGCAGGACATTTGCTTAAACATTTAAGTATTTATACACTGCGGAAATGGAACTTTACGATCATCCATCCACTTATCTTAAAACATTACTTAACGTGTCTTACCTTTTCAATTTTTTCTTGGGGCTCTGTTTAGTAGACACAGTAAACACAGAAGGGACAAAGTCAGGACTGTCGTGGTCCATGGACGCCTCCCCTGTAAAACAAAAACAGACACATACGTCTTTTTTTTAACCAGCTTCAGAGTTAAACATTATCTTGCACCAAATCCAGTGAGTCGAGTACCTGTTGTTACGTGTATCTTATCTTACCTGATATGAAATGAGCGCCACAAATACGAGCATTTCCTTTGAGCCCCTCGACGCTAACGTTCACTTGTTGGAGTGCTTGTAGCCATAAACGCCTCCGGTTGGCCTGAAACGGCCGATATCCGGACGGTATCCTGTAAAATCTGAGTTTGGTGGTTGGGGAATATCGACTTTTACAGCCAGACACACAACAGGCCGGCATTTTAGTTTAAAAGTGCCTGGATTTAGTGTGTAGTTTTGGTTGAGGAAGTCGGCGGAAGCAACAAACTTAACTTCCGTTGCCAAGACGCGCGCGCATCCTCGAGGATACATTAATTTAAATATCCAGCACGGTTTGTTTTTACCGTCTAGGCAGTGGCGGCTCTAGCTTGTAAATTTCCCCTTCAGCCACCTGCCCCAGCTACAACTGAAGACACACTATTCTGCACAAACTGTAACTGTTTATCAAACAAATTATCGTAACTTTAAAAAACTAAATAAATGATAAATACCAATTATATACTAGTAGTAAAAGTAAAAATAATAGAAAGAGTCTCTGTCTCTCTTATGTACACACAAAAAACATAGACGATCAAATTACTTAACTGCACAAATATTTTCTCGCACAAATAGATTAACAAGAGAACCTACATATCATTATTTTATCATTACACTATTACATACTTCAAACAAGACACACACATTCTAAATTGCAAAACTGTCATTTGAAGCCTCACCTTTCTTGCTTTCAACATCAATTAGTACCAAATTTATTTACAATCTTGAATACCAAAATAAAGTAACACCTCTCTATATATAGATATATAGGTACCAATATAAACATCTTGGTTTATATTGGTGGGTACTGGTTTTATTTTGTGTTTTTTCCTGGTGTGGCTAATTCTACTAATGGCATTAGTTCTGTACAGACATAGAAGTGTGCTATTTTAATTTATGTTAAAGACACCGCAAGACAACAATACTACTTAACGGCCGTCTGTTTGTTGTATTTTACTTTTCAGGTCCGTGTCGGTGTGGGTGACTGGTGTTGGGTATGTATTCAAATCCAAACAATCGTGTGAGTATAGATTTATGATTGTGCTTGTGGGATTCCTTTTGCGCAGTGGTCTGTGACCACCCCCTGCTGCCCGGCGTTTGTCTTAAACTGAGACTTAAGAAACTTAAGAACCCATTTGCACACAGAATTACGACTGTGGATTTTGTCCCCTGTCACTTACAGTGAAATCATTTTTGAAGGTATTTCATTTCTTCGTGGCCATTATGGACAGGAGGAACAAACCAAGGACTATTTCAAAGTACACATTGGCATGTGAGTATTGTTTTAAGACAGACTTAAAAATGTGAACCAATCATTTAACAGGAAACATGTGGCCCAGTTAATAATAATGGAGGCACTATTTTTGGTAACAGCTATCAAAACACAGACAAATCATCACATCAAAATTGCAATGTCATTAGGTGGTGATTAAGATTGATTTGATTAGTTCCTGCACTTCACAGCGACGCATTAAAACTGTGAAACAGGGCACTGATAAAAAAAACAAAAAAAAAACAAACAAGCACTCTGACTTATCAGCACTTAACAAGTGAATTGTCCTTGGTCTTCTCAAAAAGGTTTTATGGACATAATTTCCAATAATCAGTGTAGCCAAGCCAGTGCGTATTCCCAAATACAGTCAAGGACACTTTAAAACATGAAGCATTTCAACAGTGCTGCTTATAGTAAATTGTACTGTTAATATTTTCTCCACTTTTTTGGTTGAATTTGTGTTACCTATTATGCCTCAGACAGTGCTTTGTGTCTATCCAAATACCTGCTAGTCTGTCTACCCTCCCACATACACTACTGCACTAACAGCCTTGTAAGTGTAAATACACCTTCATTTGTCAATGAGAAATACAACAAATTTGAAGTGCCCTTGAGTTTGATTTAGTTTAAAACACTGTTATATGTGAGCAATTCATTTCTAAAGTAAAACCTTTTTCCAGAAACATCAGAAATTCTCTCCTTCTCGCTTACTGTTGGTACAAACTGGCCTGCTGATCCTGGCTTTTACTCACTTTGAGCTTTCTCCTCCATCCATGGTCATACTTTAAAATAAGATATAGATATGCATAATCCTTAGCAATAACCATCGAAGTAATAGAAAATTAATCGATGAACAGAGCTACAGTTCCTCAATTACTCAGAATAGAGGAACAAAGGCAATAAATAACTGTGATGTGTGTCAGTAGTTATTTGCCTTTTAGCAGTTGATTGAGAGTAAATAATTAATGATGCATTAAAAAAGTAGTCACTATGTGTCGGGTCAGTATCGATATCTGGGAATAAATAATACAAACTGTTTCTTTAACAGTAGCACAGTCCATTTATCGTAACATGAGTTCTCCAATTCCAGAATGTGTGTGGTGCATCGGTTCCTACTGAAGCGCTGTAGTGTTACTCAAATAGGAGTAAACAATGTATTTTTACGAGAGCATTTTGATCTGCTGCTTTGGTACTCTAACCAGTAATTATGGCAGCACGATAGTGTATGTGGGACTGACTCAAAATGAACTGCAGAACCCATGTTCATTGTAATAAAAGAAAATGGTACGCACTGCTATGGTGTAGCTCATTGATGTGTTTTTGATAGTTGGCACAGAGGAATAAGCTTTATAAGGCCTTGGCTACACAGACAATACCTGTTAGTCAGATCCGTCCGTTGTTGGTTTTGGTCCTCTCATGGGATTTGTTGACAGTGGGAAAAATACAGAATATCACCATGCTTCTCCTTTAAGTCAGTGTCAATACTCCACCAGCAGATGTCACCGTTGTGTCACTCAGTTTTCAGGATTTCAATCTAGCAGTGAAATGACAATGACAGTATTTTATAACAGAACCATTTGACATAAACTCTGGCAATTAATGTCAAAATTTACACTATTTGACTTTATAATCAGTGATGTGTAAGAAAAGCTGTGATTAATCCTTCTCATTCACTTTGCCTGTTTGATTCCTTCTCTAATATCTCACTACAGAACTCAAACCTGAATCTGTTGCTGTCATAAACAGGAGCCCATGTTAGCTTCAGGACAGCACTGTTGTATATAAATTTTACATTGACATCTAATGGAGTGTACTCATATTCTGGAATGAAAATCAATCTGCTGAATGTGAGAGTTCAATCAATATAATTTCATTTCCACTCACACTTCCACTCAGAGGAAGACCAGAGCCTCACTGACTCCAACTGAGCAGACTGGCAGTGTTTTGAAACACAAACAGAATAATGCAAACACTAGCGGACACCTGTGAAGATGTTTTTCAGGATTACAGGTTTTTTCTTCAGCAGTTATCTCATGTTTTTCTACAATTGTGAATTCCACACTCCACTTTAGACCTCAATATCTACATGCTTATGACCTGAAAAGAAACAAATTGGCATTGCCACTGAGTCCCTTACCTCCCTCCTTCCCCTCCTCTCCCTCAAGGTGACTCCTCCATCTGCACCCTCCCTGGTTTTGCCAATCCCTCTCTCTGCAGTTTCCATGGTACAGTTATTGGGATCTGATTCCCCTCTCTTTTTGTGAGCTGCCACTATCTCACCTGTTTCCCTAGTTGTCCTGGAGCTACATGCATCAATCAAAGCTCCACACTACTGCTTTGTTCCCTGTGTGTGAAAGAGAGAGCGGTACGCGGGGCATCAAAGTTGTTGTCTGATCCCAGTCTCTATAGCTGAGAAACATTTGCTGAAAGTAACATCTGAAACAGTATGTTGTTTACATATTTCTACAGCCTGACAACACGCCTGATCAGTTTTATTCCTTCCCCATTTTCATCTCTTGTTGTTGTTGTCTTCCTGTTAGGGACGAGGTGTGTCTTTGTACTGGCTTCATTTCACTGCACAGCATCCACATTTTAATTACCCTCATCTTCACCTCGCCTTGCGTCATTCTAAGTGGGGGGTGTGGGGGTGAGGGTGTGGGTGGTGATGGGGTGGTGGTGAAGAGGAGATTGAGGATAGAATATAAAAAAAATGTAAGAAGGGCGGGGTTGGCTGTGAGTGAATGGGTGGCCTGTTTTGAAAAAAGGCAGTGGAGAGGAGAGAGGAGACACAGAGAAGGAGATGTGAGCCAATAATTATAGCTAAAATATACAGTAGTTTTTAAAACCCCTTTTCTGTACACTTTTTTTTTTTCATCAGTGAAGATGATCAGCATTCACTCTGGCTTTTGGTATTCCTGAGCCACGCTTGCTCTTCATTTGCCATGGCCGACACTTTGCAGTAAGGGTTTGGGCGCGTTGCTACCTGGTGGAGTTGGCGCCTGTACACTGATACTGACAACCCTCTCTGTTTACCTAACAGCACAGCAACCCGCAGGCGCAACCACTTCCACTGGGGAGTGTTGTGGCTGTCGCTCCTGCCATCACTCAGTTGTCTGGTGAAGGGTTGAGCCACTACAACGCAATTACACATTCATTTCCCCCAGCTAGCCAGCCAGCCAGCCAGCCAGCCAGCCAGCCAGCAAGGCTCCCCTCCCCCTCAAGCTCCCTATGTCCTCCCTGCTTTGCTCTGCCCCCTTCATATTTCTGCAACGCGTGCCCTTGCCCACCATTTCCATCTCTACCTGATGCGGCTCAGATTCTTCCCTTACACCTTTAACCCCCACCTCCCTCTCTCATTTTTACCCCTCTTTCACACTTGTCCTCCACATCAGTGGTCAGCTCAGAAAAAAATACACAAAGGACAGAAGCAGAGCTGGAGAGAGAGTGGGGAGGTGGAGGCCAAAGGGATGAAGATGAGAGGCGAGGTAAAAGGAGAAAAGCAGCATGAAATAGTGTGAAATGTGAGGGGAGGACAGAAGTAGGAGTAGAGTGGGAGGGAGGTAAGGTGTTCTGGATGGAGAGCAGGGGGTGAGTGGAGAGACTGGCTAATGATATATTGATTTGGCTGAGCCCGGGGCAAAACAGTAGGAGTATGTGGGAGGAGGAGAGTCACAGCTTGCAGATGTCTTAAAACACCTGGGTGGGATAAGTTTTGTTTATGATATGCTCATACTGAAGGGCAGGGAGGCATGATTTGTAAACATCTCCAAGCATTTGAGCCAGGCTTAGGCTTGTTCAAACAAAAACACGATTCATATTTCAACCTTGTATTGCAGCGTTTGCATCTAAAGAGTAATTTGAAGGGAATTTTAATTGGTTTTTATGTTGGAAAAAACGATAGCTCAGCTGTCAGCCAGAGCTCTGAGCTAGAACAGAATAAT